ACGAAAAAGTTAGTCAGTTATTCCGACTACTAACTATTCCAGTTAGTAGTTAGAATAACTACTAACTGAAAAAAAGTTGAGTTAGTGGCATAACGGAACTTTTTTTAACGGAACTCCGACAGCCCTAATCTTTCCCTCTTGCCACGAAATACGAATTTATTCAATACCCACGAACAACCGTTAAAGAGAAGACCAGATACTCCAAAGAAACCTACACGCACTGCGAAGGTGCTAACCCTCAGATATTGGCTTGCGGGTGTCTGAAAATTCGCGTCTACTGCCGACTTATCTTCAACGCTGAGTTCTTTTGGTTGTGCACTTCGTACAACACATTTTCGAAGGATAGATTCTTGAATGAATACTTGATTTTCATCGCGAATTTCTCTTGCTGATAAGTTTGAATTTGTGCACAACACAACTTCTCGATTAGTATTATTAGAAAGTATAGCATTCGTTTCTTCGCCAGTATTTCTCGCCAAACCGTGATATTTTTCAAGAATCGCCTATAAATGCCGCAATTTTCGATACAATTGGTCAGTCATGTTCGAAAGTGTAATTATATAAAATGGCAGCAACGATATAGAGTTGAGCTTTTTTCCAACATGCATCAGTCAGTACATGCTAGTTAGAAGAACTCTTTAAAGGATTAGCCAAAATTTGTTTCCATCAGGATATTCGTGAACTAGCGTCTCACTCACTTCTTCAGTTGTGCAAAAATTAAATTTAACAGTTTAAAGTTATTAAAAAACTTAAAACTCAATTTTTCTCAAAATTTTTCCGTTACACTGAAAAAAGTATTATAACGGATGGGCCAGAAATAATGACACACTTTTGTTCTCTCTTCTTCCGACCACAACTGAGGTTTGAAGATTCCATTTTAAACTCATTCGATAGAGAATTTTCTGCTTTTAGCAATTTTTTTTAATGGGAAGAGCGTGTTGGGGAGGTTCAAACGTCTCACGGTATATGTAAGTCGACGTGGACAACAAAGTGATGTAAACAACCAGAGAGGGAGTCCGCCCCTGCTTGTACTAGATTTATTCACCCACTCACTGTTTTATCGAGATACAAACATACATTTAAGAACAAAACGATTTTTTTGTTACTGTTGTGCAATGTTTTTACAGGAAGATAAAAACTCCTAATCAACAGTACACAAACAAGAGTCAAATACACTCAAGAGCGAATAAAGTAGCACGTAAGTGTTTCAAACATTACTTGATCATTTGGCATACGCATACACAGATACCAATAAACTTTGTTTAGAATCGAATTCTTTATCGTTGATCAGAGAACAAAAGCTTTTTTAGTAATTTGCAGCATTCAAAACTTTTGAATTTCAAATCGAAAAAAACGGTGGTGAGCTGGATTTTAACGACTTTAACCTTTAAAAAGATCATATCGCAGATGTTTTTAGATTTACAAGTTGTATACGTTTTCAGTAAGAACATCGAGAGCGTTTCACAGCTCAACAAACCGTTTTGTAAAGCGCAAGTTCTGTATTTTTTAGCTCCGGAACACAATTTGTAAGCTAAATATGAGTGCTGAAACAGTTAGAATGACTCTAGACCACCTGTTAAGAAGAATAGAATAAAAGCAAACAATAGGTGTTATTCTATGTGCAAGTGAAGAACAACAAGTAAAACATGAAACAGTTTCATCTTTTTAACACGATAACGATATACCAGGTCACAAAGTGTGGTGTTTTTTTCTGTGCTTCTTTTTAACATATATGGAAGATATATAATATAAATAACGTCATATTCGAGAATGAAATAATCGATAAATAATGGCTTTATTAGTAATAGGTATCATGCTGATAATAATTAAAGAAGGTTGTTCACTGAAGTGTTACCAATGCTCGGGATTAATGGATGACACAATATCAATCAACTATACGATTACAGCTGAACATTTTCCACAATTAAACAATTGTTCGACAGTAACAACTGAACATTATTGTTATGCTGGAATATACTGGTATAAGAGTGAAACAAGTTATCTTCAAATTATAGCAGAGTTTGAAGAGAGTTTTGATCCGGATTCTGGAATAAACACCTATATAGTAGATCCGCCTAGCAATTTTGGTAGCGTATTCAATGCAACACATTATTTAATTCATTCGTGTAATACCGACAATTGTAATGATCCAATGAATTTGAGATTATTACTGAAGTCGCTGAAAATATCGGCAGATTTGATTAAAATTAAACCATTGTTATCATCAAATCAACCTGTAAATAAATCATCGTGCTTGATATTTTCCAATGATACCGACAGTTTTGAAGGTAGCTGTACAATTGATGATCAATGTAATTATTGTGACATGACAATGATCACAAAATCTCTCAAATCGTATGTTTGTTGTGGATGTTCTTATACGGATCCGTCTCAGTCTGACGATTATCAGTTTCAAGTACAAATGTCATGTAATATGAAAGAAAAAAAATGTCAGCACCAAATTCATCTAAATTGTAATGTGCCACAATGTAATTTTCTTGAAAATGTTAAACGTATTCAACAAATGTACGAAAATGAATTTAATTTTGATACATTTGTACAATCAACAGCAAACGCAATAAATTCAACTGAAACATGTTTATTTTTAATTAAACTTTCGATCGTATATTTTATTGTTTATTTTTGGGAAAAGAAAGCGAAAAATTGAAAATTAAAAATTAAATTTGTTAGTCAAGGAGTAAATTCTTCTTTACTTCATAATACTTATTATTAATTGCATAGGAAATTATTTAAAACAATCCGATCGCATATTACTAATTAAATAAAACTCCTCCAGTCAAATGATGTAATTTTGTCTTGATTATTTCAGCGAAACATAACCACCAACACTGTACAATAATAAAGTAACAGCAGTAGTTTCCATTTTATTGAAATACATATAATTAAATTAAAACGAAATATTTCAACGTTTCGAACTTTAAAAGTTCATTTTCAAGAATAAAACATAAACGTGTCACTAGCT